CTGGGGCGGGCATGGTACCGGCACTAAGGGAAAGGTGTCCGGTAATGTGAGGGTCAGAATCTCCCCAGGCAGGTAGGCCCTGAGAGGGTGGGGGATGGGAGCGAGCTCATCTCGGTCCTACCCTGCCAGGATGGCTACATCGACTTCATGGAGTACGTGGCAGCACTCAGCCTGGTGCTCAAAGGGAAGGTGGAACAGAAGCTGCGCTGGTACTTCAAGCTCTACGACGTTGATGGCAACGGATGTATCGACCGCAATGAGCTGCTCACCATCATCCGGGTAACTCTAAGTGCACAGGGCCCGGCAGAGCCCAGGGCGGGCCCAGAGCCAGGAGCTGGGGTGGGGTCTTCAGCCCATGGAACTGCGATCTCCTTCGAGGGGCGCATGATTGGGACTGAGGCTCATGGCACTCCCCAGCTTTGTGCTTGGGGCACCTAACCCCGACGGTGGGCCTCAGTTTCCTAATCTGTACCAAGAGGCTGGAGAAGCGCTTAGGTCTGCTCTGACTCCTGGCCACCCTGCGTCTCAGGCACAGTTGGGTGCCCACTCCCACCTGCTGAGCCAGTAACTGGGACTCGGTTTCTCACTTCTCCCTCTTCCCTCCCAGGCCATCCGAGCCATTAACCCCTGCGGCGACTCCACCATGAGTGCAGAGGAATTCACCGATACCGTGTTCTCCAGGATTGATGTCAATGGGGACGGTGAGGAGATGGGGGAGAGGGGCGGAGGAGGGGGGGCGGGGCCGCCAGGGGAGAGCGGCAGAGGCCGGGGTCAAAGAGGTCTCTGCTCCACATCCACCTCTGCCCCAGGCACAGGGCCGGCTTTTGGGGATTCCCCACACTGGCCTCCCCGAAGTCTCTGATTCCCTTTGTCTGCTCCACGCAGTCTCCCCGCAGCGTTGTCTCTGCGCCCCATGCCAGATTCCTCTTCTGGCTCCGAGCAGACTTAGACACCCTCCTCTCCACCCTTTCTCTTGACCCCAGGGGAGCTGTCCCTGGAGGAGTTCATGGAGGGCGTCCAGAAGGACCAGATGCTCCTCGACACGCTGACTCGGAGCCTGGACCTCACGCGCATCGTGCGCATGCTCCAGAGCCGTGAGCGGGACCCGGAGGAGGGGCCGAGCGGCGCGGAGGCCGCGGGCTGACCACACCCGCTGTTCTGCGCGGAGAGGGGACTTGTGGTGGTGCAGGCAGCAGGGCTGTTTCTATACTAGCTAAATAAAATTCGCAGCACTTAGCGGCTCAGCTCACGTCTTTGGGGCGCTCAGTGGAGTCAGAGGGGCAGGGCGGGAGTCCTGAGCAGAACCATGAAGGGTGGTTCCTGGACCCTCTGGGTGGCTTAGCTCGTGGCAACCGCTCCCTGGTGGGGTGCTCCTCAATGTCCCTGTGTTCTCAGGCTCCTCCCTGGCCCCCTCTGGCACCTCCTCTAGTGTTCCCTAACTTTCCTCACCCTCTATAGACATGGAAGCTTCTAGGCAGAGCTGAGCTTAGCCCCTGCAGATGGAGGCTGCAGTAACACTCCCCTCCCACCTCCAGGGCTCTGGAGATTGTGTAGTCTTTCCTGAATTCATTCCTTCCTTCAAAGGCATCTGTTAAGCACCTACAGTGTACTAATAATGTGCCACCAGGGAGTCTCCCTACCCAAGGAAACTTTAAAGGAATATCGCACATGTAATATCTCAAGTTCAGTCGGTTTTAGCTTTTATATCCCAACATAGAGACACGTCTATCAAATGTGTTCCTCGCCTTCTCTTCAACCAGAATGAGTGGCCCCCTTTTCATCTAGATCCACATCAGGGTTGCACTTACAGCTTATATAATAAAAACTGTTCCATGTCTAAAAAAATAATCATCTACAAACTGCTTGTCTAGCCCAGCCTGCTCACCATGCAGATGAGGTAGCAGGGGTCAGGGAACAGACAGTCCCGTGTGGGTCACTTAGCAGCTGGAGGCAAAGCCTGGCCTACGCCCAGGTCAGCAGGCCCCAGTTCTCCACAGAGACAGGAGAAGGTCCCTGGTCAGTGACTGGGAGTCATGAAAGGCCTAGGGAGCTAGGGAGTGGGGAGTTGAAGCGCACAGAGGCTGGGGCTTCTGGAGGAGAAGGTGGGGGACTGGCAGCAGGGACTGGGGCGCAGCTCCAGTGCAGAGCTGAAGTAGCCCCTGTACGCACAATCGGACCTCAAGGGCAGGAACACCACAGCATTACTTGCAGCACTTTTCCTTGTTGGCACTCCAGCTGAGGACAACCTCAGCTGAGGACAGCCAGAGCCTCCCACGAGCACTCCGCAGGATCCTGTGGCCGGGTGTGGTTATCGCTGTGTTTCTTCTGATGCAGCTGCTGTCCCTGCTCTCTGCCGGACCGTCCTTTATACTGCTAACGAGGCTATGAGACCGCTCCCCCTCAGTTTGCCTCTGCTTCCAGTTGAGAACCATGTAGGAATTTGTGAGAGTCCCTCAGCCTGTAGGAATTTGTCCCTCAGCCAGCCAAGTTGTACTTCTCCAGGAGCCCCTGAAGGCGGAGGGTAAGTGGGTTCCCTTCATCACCCCAGGAAATCTTCTTGAGTAGACTTCACCCTGTTGGCTACTCCAGACCAAAAGCTCCTTCTCCTCTATACTCCCCCTGGCCTCCCCGGTCCCCTATATGGGGTGTGCCCTGGCATCCAAGCGGGATAAGAGTAGACAGCAGCAGGCTAAGTCAGGGTCCTTCCCTCCCACTCCTCTGAATATTTAAGTGAGCAGGAAATCTTGGAGGGGTCTGTGGACACCTACTGGGCCCCCAGGGCCCCAGCCACCTTATAGTATGACACTTTTCTGCCTCTGCTGAGAGATCCAGGGTTCATCTCCGTCTGCAGCATCTTCATCACCCACTTGTCATGACGTTCATCTTCAATGAACTCAGCCAGAGAGAGCCGGCCTGAGCAAGGGGGGGTGAGATGGGAGAGTGGGAGAAATGGGGTTAGGGTTAGAGTCCCTTTGTCCTAGGGTACGCCTAAACCTCTTAAACAAACAAGGCCTAGTTTGGGACTTGTCAGGGACTCTCCATTCTCAGTTGTCCGGGAAGCTTCTGGAATTGTCAAGGGTTTTTCAAGGGTCTGTCTTTGTAAATGAAGTTTTACTTTTGCCCACAGCACCCTAAGTGGCCTTGGGGGGTCCCCAGGGTGTGTTCCGAGCCAGTCCCCCTCCCTGCACAGGTGTGGGCTGGCGTGCTGAGATAGAAGAGCCCAGCGAGCCTTAATGGAGGCCTGCCCTGTGCTTGGCTCCTAAACGCATTATCCCATTTGATTCTGTCAACCATTACCACTCCTACCTCATAGGTGGGAAGTGAGACCAGGCTGAGAGGTTACCATCACTCTGGTGGGCCTGCCTGACCCAGAGCTGCTATTCTTTGGCTTCTCTCACTAGGCCTCATCCATTAAACCACTGTTACAAACTTCATCTGCTTTAACTCATGTAACTGTTCCCACATCCACTTCAAAGAGGAAGAAGCCAGCTGAGGGGTGAAGGGCCTTGCTTAAGGCCACCTGTTCAGAAAGAGGGGTGCTGCTGAGTGGGCAGCACTTCCCTCACCCCTTCCATCTCTACCCCATTACCATCTCCATTGTCATCCACCAGAAGGAAGATCCTGTCCACAAACTCCTCTAGGTGAGCAGCTGGTTCTGCAGCTAGGCCTCCATCTCCATCCTGCAGGCTTTCTTCAGCGTGTAAATCGCCTGCCAGGGGACGCCCAGGGCACTGACTGAGGCCCAGCAAGCTCTACTCTTCACCCCCAAGTCATTTGCGTGTCCACCTCGGGAGTCAAAGCCTACACCCAAAACCTGTCTTGCAGGGTGTGTCATCATGGCCACGGTTTAAACTCACTTTACAGAAGAAGAAATGGAGATTCAGAGAGGGAAAGCGAATTGGACATATTGGGGGATGTGAGACCATGAGCAGTCAGGGTGATGGGAGATGGGGTGTTTGAACTGGAGGGGAGAGAGTTTTCCCCATGCCTCGTGTCTTCTCCCAGTGAATTAGGAAAGAAAAGGACAAACATGAAGAATACACATAGTTCTGAAGACAGAAGTGTGTGGAGCCCCAGGCCCCCCACTCTTGACCGCACAATGCAGGCCCCACTCTCATGGTCTGGGAGCCCCAGAGGTTACAGCACCTCCTGGGTGGTGAACTTGGGTGAACTCAGAACTTCTGGGCTGCAGTTTCTCTATCTGTGAAAAGTACCGACCACCCCCACTTCACAGAGCAGCTCTGGGGGTCACAGGCCTATGCAGTTGGGTGTCAGAGCCTGTGCTGCAGGAGGGCACCCACCGCCCGCCAGGGTGCTAAAGCATCAGCTTTGTTGGTGTTTTTGAAGCCAGCTTTTGGTTTTGGGGACTTATTCCCGGTCCTGTGCATTCTATTTCATTAGTTTCTTATTTTTTTCTTCTACTTCCTTTGTGATTAATTTTACTCTTCTGATTTCTTGAGATGATTTCTAAGATGATTGAATTTTAGCCTTTTATTTTCTTGTGTGTGTGTGTGTTTTAAAGGAGCTCCCTTTCTTTTTTATTTATGTATACAAGAACTGGGGTGTAGGCCAGAGGTTCAGGGGGTTGAGAGGATTCCCCATAGAGACAGAATGGGGAGCAGAACAGGTGGACCCACTGAAATACACGCTGAGGGGAGCAGCAGACAGTACAGGAAAGGTCTGCTGCGCCATGTGGATCACCTCCGGGGCAAGGGATCAAACTTGTACTGAAGTGGCTGTGGCGAACTTGAGGTGCTGCATCCTAACCCATTGTGCCACCAGGGAGGACCCCTCTTGTTTTCTAGCATACACTTTAAGGGTATGAATAGTTCTGCAAGTCTGGCATTAGCTGTACTCCACAGAATTTGGTTGCATTATTTTTTAGTTCAAAATACATGTGGGCAACACTATCTCTTGGATTCATGGTGTATTTAGAGTTGCCTGATTTCCAACAGGTGGGGATTTTCTGGATCTCTCTTTGTAACTGGTCTCTGGTTTAAGTCCATTATTGTCAGAAAGCACACTCTGCATGACCCAGGGCCTGACCCCCACCCCGGCCCAGGGGACCCCACTGCAGCCACCAGCTGCCATGAAGCCCACAGTGCCTTCCCAGGCTGGGGCTGGCACTGACCTCCACAATGTCACTGACCTCCACAATGTCGCGGAGCTCCAGGCGATCAATGCAGCCATTCCAGTCCTTGTCATAGATCTTGAAGGTCCACTTCAGCTTGTGCTCCAGGGAGCCCCTCAGCACAAGGTTCAGAGCTGCCTTGTATTCCAGGAAGTCAATGGTGTCCTGCATTGGGGTAGGAGCTGTGAGGCCCCTTGCTGCCACAGCCCGCCTCCCCGGGGAGCTGCAGGGAGCCCTCTTCTGGGCCAACCATCCCTGCAGACTCAGGACTTTGTCTCGTGCCATTGGTGTGGCCTCTGCAGCAACGTGGATGCTCTTCTCCCCCTGAGGCCCCTTCTCAGTCATCCTGCCCATTCTTTAGGGCCCAAGTTCTTCTCCCCAAGGAAGCCCTCCTTCCTCCACCACTTCAGAGACAGTGATCTCTGTCTCTGCTCGGACATTCATAGCACCTACAATCTGTTCTACAGTTTGGGGCTTACTCTGGCATTGCCTCTGAACTCTTTGTCCTAAGTATATGTAGGGTCAATGAAGTGGTCAGGTTTTTCTGTCCCCTCGCTGTTAGCGTCTATAATGGACACTGTGGTCTTACAGGTGTGCCTGATGGTGGCACCTGGAGCATGGTTTGGGCGCGCGTGGGGTGCACTGAGTATATCTGGGTGTTGACATAGGTGCACCCAGCAGAGAACAGAGTGTGGCAGCAGAGGATGTGTGGGTGCAGGGGACAGAGTGGCAGAGAGTAGTAGAGACCAACGGTCCACCAGAGAATGCCTGAGAGTCCAGAAAGAGTGAAGATTTGCCTACCAGCCTCCCAACTCCCAGGCTCCCCCATCCCTCACTCCAGCACCCCCCCACCCCCCACCCCCACCCCACCCTGCACCTGGTTGCCTCACTACAAACAGCCTAGAAAGATCATTAAAAGCCTGAAAGCCATGGAGGGTGCCAGGAGTCTCCTCTAGCCATCTGCCCAATCCCAGAAAGCCTGCCGTGCCTTGCTGGTGCTACATCTGCCTCATACTCTGACTACGTGATGTGCTCTGGAGAAAAGGGAGGGTTGACATTGCGTCTGTTTCTCCTCCATGTCAAGCATGGTGTCACCTAGGCTGTGATGCAGGGGTCTCTTAAATATTTATGAACTGATAAATACACAATTGACTTAAATTGGACTTGGGACTAAAGTCGTTTGAAAGGCGATTAGGAAGTGATTAAAAAACAGCACTCACAATGAAAACGTCTCTTCACTCACTCTGAGCCTGAGGGGAGGTGAATCAGCAGTGGCTCCAGCCCCTGCTCAGGCCCGGGAGGACAGGCCTGCCTCCTTGCTGCGGCCTGGAAGCATGTGGGGAGGGGGAGGGAGAGAGAGCTCAGTCGCTGACTGGGCAGAGGAAGGAGGAGAGCACAGTTTTCATAACAAAGCGTGTCAGCAGCTTCCAAAAGCAGTAGCCATGGAGGGGAGCCATGCGGCTTGCTTCTCTACTCGGAATGAGCCTGAGGAGAAAGGCTGGTGGCAGCGGGCTGGCGGGCCAGGGTTGCTGCCTGAGCGCCACAGGTGTTCCTCCACACAGGAGCTCACGTGTTCCAGGGTGGGGATCTTAGTTTTCCAGATCAAGATCCTGAGTCATCAGCAGCCCCAGGCCTAGTGTCTGTCCCTAACAGGGCTCTGTAATCAGAAACAACATCGCTGACCCGAAGCATGTCTGTTCCACGGCCTCACAAGCCCAACCCCAGATGATGGGGTGCCTTGGTAGGCAAGGTTTGAGCAACAGTGGAACACAAGGGGAAAAGGAGGCAAATAGCACAAAGCCTAAGGAAAGCAGAAAGGAAGGAAAATGAGCTACCTGGACACCTGTCGGGTTGGAGGCTACTTTTGTCCGTGACTGCTTCTGGTCCTTCTCTCCACCCCCCATGCAGATCAGTTAAGGTCAGGCTGCTGCAGTTACAGTAGTTTTATTTCTTGGATTTCAATTAAAAAATGTCCCATTGTCTTTAGCATTATTTAAAATCACACCTTTTATTTCTTTTGAGAGGTACCGGGTAGCACCTCCGTTGGCTGTGGGCTTAATATTTCCCATGACACAGTGAACGTCTTTGTCCATGTATATATTCTTATATTTTTGCCAGTTTTTAAGGGTAGATTCTTAGTAATGGTTGCTTGTTCTTTAAAAGACTACTTTTGTAAAAAAAAAAAAATACTATAATGGTTTATTTTTACATCATTTTGTGCCTTTTTCCATCTCAGTTGTAATCCCCATGGGCTTCCCATCACCAAATCACCCGTGTGCCATCACCATAGTAAAAGACTACTTTTATTACTAATTATTATTTGTTAAACTTCTAAAATAGGACTTCTGCTCCTTTTTAAACAGGAATTGAAGATGAAAATGTTTGCAAAATGCCTGTTCCATTATTACCATTTTATGGATGACAAACCTGAGTCTCAGAGACCGAAAAATTGCCCAAGAAATACCCAGGCAGTGGGTGGCAGGGCCTTTCAAACTGCGTGTCTTCTGCAGTTCCTAAGTTGGGAGAACTTTCTTACTCCACTCAGTCTATTACTACCTATAAAATGGGCCTGCTGCCTACTACCAAGGAGAGCAAAACAAAAATAAAACCATTGACAATCCCCACTCTCCAGATCTCTAAATCCTTCTGATTATTTTTCTAGAATCTACTGTCTTCTCAACATCCTCTCTCAACATGCTAGGATGTGCACAGCGGGCCCTTGCTTTACAAGAGGCACATGCTAGCACAGGCCCTTGTGACAGAGACCTCAGCTTCAGGGTTCTTGTAGTTCCAGGACCATTGTGAGGAAGTTTCCAGCTGGACCTAATCTCACCTGCTGTGCATGGGCCCTCTTCGGCTTTGATTACCTACAGAGGCCGATGCAGGTGACTGGAATGATAGAAATGCCTGTCTGCTCAGGAGAAGCAAAAGTGACAGGTGTGTGATCTGCTCTGTGGGGTTATCTGTCCCATCTCCCCCTGAATTGGTGAATTTGAGGACAAGTCCTGACCTCCAGTGATGTTACATGAGAATCCCAAGCGGTGACTGAACTCCGTGCTCCCTTTCCTTCCACTCCAGTACATCACAGGGCACCCGCCAGAGAGAAGAGTGTATTGGGGGAGAGGAACAGCAGAGACAGGGTGCTCCTACCTTCTTGCTTCCAACAAAATCCTGTTTCTATTACCCCATATTTTGGCATGTGAGCTAGATCAATGAAATTTTTAAATTCATTTTCCCCAGAAATCTTAGACTGATTGTTCAGACGAGACTTGCTGATAGAGATTGTGCCAAGGGCAGTAGAATTGATTGTAGGTTTGACAATCGAGAGTAAATAGAAAAAGAAAAGAAAAAAGGCTCAATCCCCAATGGAGTGCCTTCTAGAATCTTCTGGGAAAGCAGAATGTCAACTAATAAACACAGAAGTTAGAAAGTGATCAATGGATGAGCCCTCTCTGGTGGCACAATGGGTTAAAGCACAGCACTATCAGGCTATCGCAGCCACTGCAGCATGAGTTCATTTCCTGGCCCCGGAGGTGACCCACAAGGTGCAGCAGACTTCTGACCTGCCCACTGCTCCCCCAGCACCATGTACTTCATCCACCTGCCTGTTCTGCTCACCACTGTGTCTCTGGTGAATCCTCTCACTGCCCCTGCACCTCTGGCCTGTACCCCAGTTCTTGCATGCATAAATAAATAAATCTTAAAAAAAGAAAATGACCAGTGGGTACCCTCCCTAGCACAGCTGTGCCATGCATGAGGTCCTGGTCAGTGACAGCTGCAAATTCTATGGTGTCCTCTGCATGTGATCCAGATATGTAACTACAAACCCACTTTTGCACAACGAGGAAATGTCCTAATGACACACCTCTCAAAACATGTAACTAAGCTGTAAAGCAACACATGACTGTAGGTGAAAATGTACACAATCGGGTATTTACTTAGTCTCAACATATATCCCTATCAGATCCTTATTGATTACAAAGGAAAAATAGCACCTTTACATGAAGAAACATGACAGGTAACATGTAAACCAAATGGAAATTAACCGCCCCAGTCTGGGGAGCAACTAACACCGTAGCCACCAGTGTGATACACCAAGAAGAACACAGTGTCAGAGACAGGGCATGAAACTCAGCCTGTCACAGAGGCACGGGGAAGTCCGACCTGGGGGTGTCCTCAAAATATTTGGCCTGCAATCTTTAACATTGCCAGGGTCAATAAGAAACACTGAGATTAAAGGGTCTAACTTGAAGACTAAAGAGAGAGGACAAGTAAATGTGATGAATGATCAAACCAAAGTCAAAACCAATAAAAGCCACGAAGTACACATGATCAGGACAAGCTGACTGCATGTGAATGTGAATTATTAATTAGATGGTATCAGTGTTAAATTTTCTCATAGTCATAAGTGTGGTAGGTTATTTAAGAGACTACCTTTGTTCTTAGGAAAAATACGCTGAAACACTTAGGGGTGAAAGGGCATAATATCACCGACTTTCTCTAAAACCACACACACCACATACAACAATTCAAGGCCCAAAAGGGATTATTAAGTCCTTGGACTGTACCTCTTTATACCATATTTCTTGCAATTCAGCATCTAACATTCACCATGGATTTTTCCTTTTCTTCACAACTTTTTAATTTTGATAGGATCTCAACTTTACATAATGGTGCAAGAATGTATAAGTAACTTCCCTGCACAAAGGTTTTCATGAAATCTTCCACGACTTGAAGAGCTAGAAGGCCCTTTGCATCATCTGTGCATCTCCCAGTCCATGCAAGAGCGGCCCTCAACAATCCTGGTGGGGAGGACCTGACCCTTCTCCTCTCAGAGGACTCCAGAAGTGGGGAGCTCGCAACCTATGCCAAGACAGCTTGTTTCTTTGGGGGCAACTCTAGCCCCTTTTCGCTAGAGGGCCAGGGGCTCTGTGAGTCCTCTGGGTGCAGTGCCTGGGAGCCCCTATTCAGGATGTGTCTTTAGCTCAAGGATGGAAAAAATATACCCCGCCCCCCGCCAACACCTTCCCCTTCAGAGTGTGTACCCCATTTTTGTCGAAGGCATGGAACATGCTCTCTACATACTGGGTGGCCTCTGTGACTCTGAAGAAGCTCTTAAACTCGCGCATGAAGAGTGTGCCACTAGAGCACTCCACCACGAACTTTCGGTATCACTCCTGGAGCTCGGCCACATCCATCTCACCCTCCGCCTCTGCCTCTTCCTAGCTGAACTGCTGCCTCATCCGGCCTCCAGGAATGTCAGGGAGCGAGGTGTGAGTCTCCTCCAGGCTTCCGCAGATTGATCCCTGAAGGCTAGGACCCTCTTCCTCCCTTTCCCCAGGTAGCCAGTTCTTCATCACCTCCTGGGCAGCTGAATGAGATGGGTGATGGAGGGGACAGTAGCAGTGGGGGTTTGAGGGGGTGGGGGAGGTGGGGGGAAACCAGGCCAGCTAAGCTGCCCTAAGAACATTAGATTCCACTAGGTCAGCCCTCCAGTCTCAGCCCACCCCTTACTCTGGCCAACCAGTCCCCTAAACCAGCCCAGCAGATAATGGGGGGGGGGGCGCGGGGAGGGGGAAGGGCAGGAAGTTGGGAGGGAGGCAGGTTGGGTAGCCGGCTGAGAGCTCCTATCCCTCGTGCTCCCTCCACCATGCTGCACCAGACAGGTCCATCCTGGAGACACGGAGATGCGAAGTCTAGAGAGGAAGCAAGGTCAACCCCTTGCCCACAGGGCAGATCCTGGGCTCACCTCTCTACTCGGGTCTGGGGGGGGGGGAGCAGAGACGCTATAATCTGTAGGAGAGCAGGTGCCCCCAAACTAAGTCACCCCCACTATGGCTCTTGCTCTGCTGCAGGTCACACTCCTGAGTGTTGGAAGCTTTTTTTTTTTTTTTTTTCCCAAATTGCAGTACAAGTCCTTCCTTCCAAAACCCTGGTCCCAAGACCCAGAGGCAGGGCCTTCAGCCAGATCCTCCACATTATTAAAAAGGCCCTGAGAACAGAGCTTAAGCTTTCTCCAAAGGCTCTAACTTTTATATAAAGGCTCATGCAAATTTGTTTTTCTGTCAATGGTATAGCCATGCTTATTTAACGTAGTATCAAAATGACACTGTAGAATTCAGAAGGTCCAGAGCACCGATTTTTCTAGAAGATTTTAAAGGCAGTCATTCTCAGTCTCTTCATCACAGGGGCAACCCTATCTTTATTGCCTGTCCATCTCTGAATAGTTTCGGACATCTGTCTCCAAGCTGTACCTCTTCTTTCCGCTCCTGCCTCCAAATCTCCCTAATCTCTCAAAGTTCTTTTTAATTTCCTCACCATTCATTAAAGCTCCACTCTCTCGTCATGCTTGTGAATATGAACAGATTTTCCTCTCACAGCCCTTGCTCCTTGGTATCTGGAAAGTAGGGCTAACCTGTTCCGCTTGCTCCTCGTTGTGCTCCACTCTTTTCTCCTTCAAGAAAGCCAGTCCCTTCAAAGCAGGTCTGATTCTGCCCTTCGAGGTAGTCTTTGCTGCCATCACTCGCTGGTGAATTCAGAACTCGTACCAGCCCTGCGATGTTCACCTCTACGGACATATTAGGTCCACCCTACGCTCTGGCCTTCCCAGGTCTCTGATCGCCTTCATGCCAAAGCTTTTTTTCTACCCCACCTTGATTTCCCATTCACCTCTCGTTTCCTGGATCAGAAGCCGCAGCATTTGGGAGCTTGTTAGAAATGCAAATCTCAGTCCAGCTGTCTCTAATCCCAAATTTTGGGGGCGGGTCCAGCAATCTGGGTTTAACAAAGCCCTCCAGGGGCTTCCAATTCACACTGAGATTAGTGAACCATTATGCCATGCTGTGCTATCAGGAATCTCCATACTAAAAGCAACGCTGAGAGTATCCGAACTCCTCCTTCCAGCTCAGTTATTCTAACACCTTCCCTCCAATAACTCACCAGTCTTATTAAAATTTCCAGATGACTGGTCTCATGTTTTTTAACATATGTCACAATGCAGAGATTCTCCTTGCTTTCTTCCTGGCCCAGGACTCTTGCCAATTCCTTGTGAAGACCTTTACTCTACCTACTTGGCAAAACCTGACTCTGGCAGAAGCTATCCACTAACTGTGCACTAACACTTCACCAGAACCCAAGTGACTGAACAGCACGGGTGGAAAATCATAAAATCACATGAGTTGCACACATTGCAAAATTTTTTTTGAAATTGTTTTTTACTAAACCACACCCCACCCTACTCCCCCCCTCTCTCCCCCACCAATGTGCTATGTGGATGTAAAGGGTAAGATCTGTAAGATCTCTTTGATCTAAGAGTCAGTTTTCACTTCTGGGGCAATAGCCCTCTGAGGTGGAGTGAGAATGGGTGTCTGAGAGGATATGAATATGATAACAACTGTTCTTAAGTAGCTAGAACAAAGATCACTAAACCTATCCTTATAACTATGATTACATTTAAGGAAAACAAATGAGATGAATTTAACCACTTACCTTTATTTATAAATTCTACTAGTTTTAATTTTTAGTATATATTTCCTATCTTATTAGATGGTGATACTGCTCTTAAAAGTTTTTTTTAAATAGGACCCTCCCTGGTGTCCCAACGGGTTAGGACACAGCACTGAATGCGAGCCACAGACACTTCAGTGTTAGTTCAATCCCAGCCCCAGAGGTGACCCACATGGTGTGGCAGACCTCTCCTGACCCGCCTGCTGCCCCCCTCATCAGTGTACATCATCAGCTTACCTGTTCTGCTCCCCACTCTGTCTCTGGTGAAGCCTCTCACCGCCCCTGCACCTGTGGCTGTATGCATAAATATTTTAATTAAAAATTTTAAAGTAATATAATAGTTTATTTTTACATCATTTTGTGCATTTTTCCCATCTCAGTTGTAATCCCCTTTGGTTTCCCATCACCAAATCACCCGTGTGCCATCATCATAGTCCAGTGCATTTCCCTCCCCCCACTGTTTTGATCCCATTCCCCACTCCACCCCCATAAAATGTCTCTGGTATATAGCTGTTCATTACTATTATTTTCTCGCCTGGTCCGTTATATTCCTGCTATGAGAGAAACCATCCGGTATTTTTCCTTTTCTTTTTGGCTTATTTCACTAAGCATGGTCTTCTCCAGCTCCATCCATGTTGCTGTGAAACACGTGTTTATTTTTTTTTTTGGTTGCTGAGTAATATTCCATTGTGTGTATGCACCACACCTTTTTAATCCAGTCATCCACTTTTGGGCATTTGGGCTGTTTCCATGTCTTCCCTATTGTAAATAAAGCAGCAATAAACATGGGGGTGCAGGTATCTTTTTGAATCAGTGTTTTTGTGTCTTTTGGGTAGATACCTAGGAGTGGGATTGCTCTTCATATGGAAGCTCCATGTTTATACTGCTCTTAAAATTTAACTGAGATTATGACAGTTGAGGTCCAACGTGATAGAGGCTCATATTCTCTGCTCCCCTTCCCACCATCTAATAGTCCAGAGGGATTCGTTTGGATAGGCTATGAGTAGATAAAACTTATATTTTGCTATCTGTTTCCAAGAAGCCCGAGGATCACACTATGTCTTCTTCCCTGGTGACGTCGCCCTTGCCCCTGTCCGAGATGACTATTCAACAAAGCATCCGCCCTCAGACCCTCCTCGGCTGATGACCTTGTTAAACACTCAGAGAAAAAAACACACCCTACACCTCATCTTCCCACCAGACCTTTCTGTTCCCACGTGCTCTGCCCTCTTCCGGTTCCAGGGGAAGCAGTCTCCTTTCTCACTTCCCCACCTTCAGCACCTACGCTGTTTTCTGCATCTCATCTCTCTGCCTACACAAGCATTGCATTCGCACAATTATCCCTTTTCTTCTGCATCCTCACTTTAACCTTCTCTACCAGACCATCCCTCTCTGCATCGAAATGCTTTAATATTAGCTTTTTAAAAACACCCTTCCTTGACACCCACACTTAGAGGGTCCTGTTATGATTTTCATGTGCTTGCACATGTTTGCCTTCCTGGATCATCAGAGAAACACTGAACGACTAATTATTAACAAATACGAAACCTCGTGTTTTATCACTCGTTGGTATAAATATAATCCCACCCCATGGTGCCTGGATTAGATTGCTTCTTCTGGCTTTTGAAAGATATCAAAACATTTAAAAAAAAGATACTGCCCCCCGCTCACATTCCTCTCCACCTACTGCCAGAAGGCTGGCTGCCCCTACAGAACGCTGTGGCAGATGTAGTTTTCAAAAATGACACAATAGATCTGGTCTACCATGTTCTTCCCCTCTAGGGAAGGATCTACTTCTCTCTCTTCAACTTGAATGGGACTCTGTGGCTGTCTCTCTGTGGCTATGTGACTCCTAAGGTGATAATTTTCCACCTCATCTCTCTCAGGATTTTGCCCTGGGAATCCAGGTCCCAGTTGTGAGGAAGCCCAGAGCACAAGGGTTTCAGCCTCCATCACCACATGTGTGGTTGGGTGAGTAAACCCACAGACGACTCCCGCCTTCCACACACCCAGCTGGCACTGAACGCAGCAGACGATGTACTCACAGAGGCCTAGCCAAATTGTGGGCTTGTGCGCAAAATGTCTCGTGGTGAGTGCTTTCTAAGAGCAATAGATAACTGAATACTTTCAAACCTGGTTTGTGTCATCGTTCTACCTCTCTCCTCAACCTACTCAGCTGGACAATCACCTCATCACTCCATGCAGCAGGCTTTCATAGTGGGCACCCACAACCCACATTTCTTACTAAACCTGCCAGCAAATTCATTGCAGTTCACCAGACTGAATTTTTTCTCTAGTTTCAGGAACCCATGGTGACTTCACTCCTGATGGCCCATCTCCTCCGTTGGCACCTCCTCCTTTGTACCATATCTCTACCCGCTTGGGTCTTCTCAGGCTTGACCTCAACATTCCCCTCTTGGGTAACTACACTCTAGAGATGAGCTCATTCATCCTCTAATGCTACATGCCACTTATAAATTGATAGCTTCCAAATTTTATCTTCAGTCTTGTCCTCAGAACTCCAGAATCATGAACCCAAATGCCTACTGGACTCAGACTGCACTTAGCGAGACTAAAGTCAAACTACTGATTTCCTTCCCAAATCCTTTCTCAATCTTTTTCCAGCTCAGTCATGACATCACCAGTTATCTAGCTGCTGAGATTGAAAAAGTAACTAGCTGCTAAGTCATCTTTTATTTATTTTTTAAGATTTAATTCATTTATGCATACGGAACTGCGGTACAGGCCAGAGGTTCAGGTGGTTAGCATCACAGTGTTGCGCTTTAACCTGTTGAGCCATCAGGGAGAGATCTTTTTTTTTTTAAGATTTTATTTTTGCATAGAAGAGCTGGAATGTAGGCCAGAAGTGTAGGGGGTCAGAGGATTCATCAGAGATGAGTGGGGAGCAGAACAGGAGATCTACTGAGATACACTGCTGAGGGGAGCAGTGGGCGAGGCAGGAGAGGTCTGCTGCACCATGTGGGTCAGCTCCCTGGCTGGGGATTGAACTCAGACCATAGCAGTGATAGCGCTTAGACTTAACCCTTAGGCTACTGGAGAGGCCCCTATAAGAGTCACCTGGAACCTTCTTTTTCTTAGATTACATTTCATGAGCTCGCATGTCACTCTATTAGCAGATCATTCCTCAACTCCAAGCTATATTCTGAATTCAAGCACTATTCATCACTGCATGGATGCAACTCAAGTCCCGGCTATGTCCTCTTGGCTGTTCTGTGCAATAGGCCCTAAAGGTCTCCTTGCCCTTCTGACCATCCCCTTCCTTATAGTCTACACTTAGCAGCAACAGCAGTGTCTGCTAAGCAGAGATCAGATACAGTCACTACTGTTCAAAGCCTTTCTATGGCTTCTCTCGTACACTCAATCAAACCTACACTCCCACCAGTGATGATGCCTCGGTTGTGACACCCACTTCATCTTCACATCCTTCTGCCTTGGCTGCAGACACACCAAGCAGAACAGGCTTTAATACTAACTGACCCTGCTGCCAGGACTCCCTCCCCCTAGCTGTCTCCTTCTCTACATTCATCCCTCCTGGAAACTACCCACCCTTCCTCAAATAGCCACTCAAGAAATTCTGGCATGATCTGATCTTTCTTCACAGTGCTTAACCACATCTGAAACTATCACATCTTCCCCCCTATTTTTAGTTCTCCCCATGTGAGTCTAAGATCTAAAGGACTTCACCACACACACTGCAGAGTTCTCAGTGGCTAGACCAGTGCTTGGCACATACAAGGAACTCAAGTATGAATTGAGTAACTGTGCAAAGGCATGGCACACATGTGTGTGTTGACTTAATGGATGATACTACTTTTTAATTTTACAAGACAATTGTTCTTGAGTCCTTTGAGAGTGTCTGAATTTGCAGATATTTGTTGATATGAAAAGATAATGGGAATTTATAGTTGAAAGAGGCCTTGAAGTTCATCCAGCTCAGTGATTTCCAACCCTTCCCCACCTCATCACACCTGCACACACCATGTCTTCATGAGTCACTGTGGTTCTGGAGCAACACCTCACCAGCTTTGGTGTGAGGGTGGTATCACTCTTGTTTCTTCATATTTATTGACCTCTAAGCAACACTTAAGAGTGTTCAAATTAAGAAATTGTAAGACGAAATGTAACTTGATTTAGCTCGGGCTGAGGAAATCTAAAATTCCATTGGATTTCCTGTGGGTCAGTTGCCCATGACTTGACCTATAGCTACCGCTGAGCTGTTGAGGGATAAATATCATTTTAAAGAGGATTAGGACTCCACACAGAGAAATGATAGCCTGAGGTGAGTAACAATAGTCAGGATTTAAGGAGGGCAGGGTTAGGAATGGAGTGGGGATTTGCAAAGAGAACCCTGGGGATCACAGGCAGTCAGCCATAACTTGGCTTCAGGAGCAACAAACCAGTAGGCAGTGCTGGAGACAGGCCTGGCTCACAGCCCTGCTGTAAACAGACTCATGTTCTTTTTTTTAAAGGTTTATTTATTTATGCATGTAAGAACTGGGGTACAGGCCAGAGGTGCAAGGGGTGAGAGGATTCACCAGAGACAGCAAGAGGAACACAACAGGCAGATGAGCTGAAATACAACGCTGAGGGGAGCAGCGGGTGGGTCAGGAGAGGTCTGCTGCACCATGTGGGTCACCTGGGGATCGAACTCATGCTTCAGTGGCTGCAGATAGCTTCATCGTGCTGACACTTTAATCCCTTGCACCACCAGGGAGGCGTGTCCCAGATGTTCTAGTGACCCAGGAGGACCCTTGTAGAAGCCCAAGCTCTTTGCCCTTTAGACACTGAAACCAGAGTCAGCCCTGAGACCACAGGGATCACACTGTGTCGTGCTTCTTGCCCTCATTTCACACACAATGACATCTTTTATTCCTTAGATTTTTCTTCCACCTTATCAGTCTCTTTCTTCTAAGTTTTAGGGGCAATGAGTACATTTTACTAATGTGATGGGGAAATAAACCTAGGTTTTAGGTTGGACTATTCTGCATTATTACTGGATACCTATCTCATGGCCCCTAAAAACTAGTTGCTAGTCACCACCCTGACTGCAGACAAATCAGCTGGGGCATTCACTCTAATTGAAACTGTCTTCAGTTTCATCTGTAAACTGAAAGGGTGATTGAATGAGCAAGTCCTAACATGGTTTTCTTCTGCAGCATGGGGATAATAATAGTAACACTTTATTTGGTTGCCATAAAGATTAACTAAGATAGTATCTACAGATAACTGCCTACGTTAAAGGCCTGGCCCCGTGCATGGTGGGGACTATAATAAGCACGTTCCGTGTTTTCTCAGCTAAATCAAACTTCAGAGCCACTCTCAAACATTCTCCTCACCTTGGAGGTATTCTGAGGTCCCTTTCAGCTGGTTTTTAAATAGTACGGCACACAAGCATCTGGAGTATCATCAAATTTGCACTACTGTCCAGTAATAGTTATTATTTATTGAGTATCTCTCACCTGCTTGGCACAGTGTCAGGTGCTTTATTAGTTAACTGATTTACTACTCCAACCTTGATGAGCAGGATTTATTCCCTACGTCTTACTAAGCAGTAAACTGAGGCTCTGACAGGGTTAAATATCTTGTGCAAGTTTACAGCAGTGGGGCTGAACTCTTACGGGATTCTAGTCTGCCTGACTCCAAAGTCCATATTTGCTCTTTTCTGCTTTGCTCCTCATTCATGTGGTGGGGAAACTAATTTAACATAATGTTGGAAAGGAGGAACGCTCCCGACAAGTGAAGATGTTAAAGGACTAGACAACTGGCTTATTAAAAAAAAACTGCTTCATATACTTACTGTGGCATGTTAAGTGGCCAAAGGAACACAGAAATACCTTTACTCTTATCAGAGATCTGAAATACACAGTATGGATTTAAATAGACCACAACATTATTTTATTTAATTTGAAAGAAAAACATACTTCAGGTTAAGAGAAACAATAACGAATTCATGGCTACACCTCAAAAAAAAAGAAAATTGCTTCACTTCCTACCTACCTTCTCATTCATTCTATCATTGGGGCAACTTTTCTCTCACTACAGAACAGACAAGTATACACAGTGAGGCTGGGGCATTCACTCTAATTTTTGGACTATGAATTTTACTTGGGCAACTCAACTGAAAAAAAAAAAAACCAAAATATTATCAGGTTATGTTTCTCAAGAAGCAGTCTTCAAATTTGCCAAATACTTTTGTCAAATATCACATTTTTGTCATTTATCTAGTTTACTTGTATTGTATATAATATAATCTGAAATGCCAAGTCACCTGGCTCATAGGTGAACTTATTCTGAAACAGCCACAACTGGACACGTACCCTTACGGGAGCTCGCAGGCCCTGGAGATAAGCATATATAGCTCTTCCTTTACACCACACGGACTAACAGTAAAGAAGCATAAGGAAGCTTAGGTATGCATCTATGTCGACTTTTAAAGAATTCTTTTAGAGTATAAATGGCCACAACTGCTGCTTCGCTAGACATAGGCACTACTGTGCTACATCTTAACTCCAGGTTTCTAACTGGGATAAGCATGCTCTAGGTGTTTGTGAATGACAGTCAACTGAGCTGTGAGTACAATGAGGTCATGGGGCACAAGGCTGTAATTCTTCCCATGTTAATGACAGTAATGTAAGTCTGCCACATAAGCAGAATGCATTCAAAACACTGACATCAGATAGTAGGTCAGGAAAAGAGAACAGGGTCCAGTTCAAGGGGGTTAAAACTGAGAAGTCATAACTAGCCCAAAGATGAGAAGGAAACTACAAAAGACATGGACCCGAGTCTGCTGTTAAAAGGAAACCAATCACTCCCTTGGGCCCGAGACACCACCAATTTCAGGCCATTACAGGCTGGCCTCTTTCAGGGCTTTAGCCACTATTTAATTTCATCGAAAAGCAGACATCTTCAAACAAAAAGTTCCATTTAGCAAAAGAAAGAGGCCTTCTTATTAGTGAGGAACTTAGTAAAAAAAAAAAAAGCAAAAAATTTCTATTCAATTGTGGATATTCACTACCGTGTGGATGCAAAGTTAACAAAATAAAGCTTGCTGAATGAATGAATCACAGAATGAATGACATGTTGCAGGCAGGAATTTCTCGAGCGCTCCAATTCCATGGCAGTGACCCTTTTAGGCAGCCCTGAGGCTCTGAGCTGCAAGAAGAGTTCCAAGCAGGCCACAAATGTGCTCAAGTTGCTGCTAGGAACATTCATTTTCAAGAATGTGATGCTTAAAATGGGCAAAATTTAGAGGTAACCACCCCAAACTAGCATGTATCAGCTGGCACTGAGGTAAATATCAGAACTGAACTGCCCAAGATTAAATCAAACAAAGGTTCTTTCAAGGCATTGCAAAAGAAAAAATGCATGTGATGAGTATTTAAATTTTATATGAGTGAAATGATATAAATTAAAACCAGTATAAACGAGTAACTCAACCATAGCAGAAAAACAAAATATAAATTTGACTTTCTGGTGCACATTAGTCAGCATGGCTTGCTCACACTGGTTAGGAGCAGAATGGGAAGAACAGCAGAGAGCCTGGTTCTTTCTCCACAGTCCAGTGTGTTTTCATTAAAGTCCCATTCCTGCTTTCAATTGTTTAGGGCATGTTGACGCAACAGAGCAGTTAGGGGAATTCAAAAATCACCTCACCCAAAAGCACCTTCCCTTTCAACATGTGTCGAGCTCACCCCCACTTCTAACGCTGGCACATGTGGTCTCTGCGAGACTTAAGATTTTTCTTCTTTACCCTTCGATGTCGTCTCCCAGATTGGCTCCTTAATATGTTCTGGTAACTGTTCTAATTTTGTCTAAAAAGAGAAAAACAACACTTTAATACGGATTTCATTGAACTCTGGCCACATTAGGGTTTATTCGTTTTGTTTCTTCAAATCCTGACTTTTCCTTTTACCCCGTAGGTATTTCTGTAGGGCTCTGCACAGAGAGAAGGAAACTTGATGGTACACAAAGCACTCCTTTTTTTTTTTTTAAAGATTTATCCATTTATTCATACAGAACTGGGGTACAGGCCAGAGATGCAGAGGGTGAGAGGCTTCACCAGGAACAGAGTGGGGAGCAGAACAGGCAGATCGACGAAGTACACTGCTGAGGGGAGCAGCAGGCGGGCCAGGAGAGGTCTGCCACACAAGGGAATCTCCTCCCGGGCAGGCGGGGATTGAACTCATGTGGAATTGGCTTAAGCTTCTTAGTGCAGTGCTCTAAGCCACCAGGGAGGGCCCACACAAAGCACTCTTACATAATTATCTATTTGACCTCTGAGGGCCCCAGGGACTGCCACTTCCTGTGGTCTCCATGTGGAGACAGACATCGAGAGGGAGGGGGATTGCTTGGGGCTGATGTGGGCAGCAGTGGCGGGAGTGTGCTGAGCTGCCCCACTGCACCAGGGCAGGGGAGACCCCCTTCACTGTGGAGACTGCTCTGGTCTCCCTCTCCTCAGTGTGCCAGACTCAGCAGTAAGGCATCAAACATACCCCCACAACACAAAGTCATACCTTTGTAACTTCCATGGCAACGCCTTCAGGTAAGTTTCGCTGAATATATTCCAAGTAGACATCTGCTGTACTTCCAGTTAGATGTTCTAACTAAAATTCAAATATGAAGCTGGTTTATACTAAGATGCTAAAGCAGAAATTTGAAAGTTTTTTGGGTAAAAGCTTAAAAATATGAAACAGGAAAACTGGGTAGATCCCTTTCATCTTTTATGAAACCTTACACAGAATCTGAATTTAGGAAAAGGTGTTTCCTTTGGTTGGACTGGATGTGAGTAGCATAGATATGAAGCCTCCTTTCCTCACAGATCCGAGAAAGCCAGGGTTTCGTGGCACCAAAGCAGTATATGCACAAGCATTTAAGCTAACTCAGGAATGAAAATACAGGACTTAAGAGAGTTAGTACAAGATTTTCTGTGTGCTCCAGGGACAGGAGTTTTGTTAGACATAGGCAGATAAAATTTTGGATTTATTTTTTCAATGAAGGGTAGGTAGGGCTATGTCTAGTCGATCATGTTTGCACCCTCAATGTCTACTACAGTGCCCCAATATAAAAGATGCACAAGATTTGTCTGAATAACATTTACCATGATTTAATATGTGACAGAATCACTCTACTGTAATAAATGAAACACCTTAACGCTACCATCAAGGACCTGGAGAATCCAGTCACCATACAGAAAGAATTGTTAGAACTCTATGAAAACTATAATTTTTGACACATCAGCAAAACTATTCCAATGCTATGTTACTGCATAAAAATTAGCATAATCTGCAATACTGCATTAAAGTTTGCATTATTCTAAGGATGGCTTTGAGTTTGAGTCTCATGTCATGTTGCCCACATAACCACAAATAGACAAGTATCCTCTCTATAACTATCAGGTGTGGGTTGACTGGAAGGAAGTCAACCCAGTCAATGTTAAAACAAAGGCATGACGTGGAAGTGTGAAATTTCAGGCCCTTCAAAAACGCCTGAATGTATGAAATAAACTCACCTCTAAACATCTGTAAAGGGTCCTCATTTCATACTGAACTCTATGCTTCTTGAAAATATGCACTGATTTGAGAAGAGTTAATCGCTCTATTTTCCTTGGAGGCTCGTGCCTGAAAATTAATGGACAAAACAAAATACATAAGCTAAGAGATGTTAAAACCTGAGTCACTGATATCAAAGCATGATTCCACAACTTTGTAGGGCAGGCTCATACTCAATTACAGGCGTTAACTACCATTTACAGACTTCCACTTGTCAAGACTGTCATCTTTAACAACTGCTGTCATAAAGCTTAGGCCAAAATAAACACTGCAAACAGCAAGAGAAACATTTTCCACAGATTTAAAAATGAGCTTGGCATGCTTTTGGGTTTTACAGTTTTGAAGTCTCTTATTGACCAAACACATGAACTGTGAAAAATGGCCCCAGTGTGATGGACACTGCTGTGATGTTTGCTGTAAGGATACTTTATAGCTTTAGGAAAATCTACAGATAGTGATAACCACGAAACTACAGTGTTAGGGTAAACATGTGGATGCCATCTGTTTGGTCAGAAGGCTCGAACTGGCAAAGCCCCAAATGGGCCTTGTTCAATACCAGAAGGAATAGATGAAAAGATGAAATAATACTGGACCATCCAGTGACTGCAGGGCCATGTGAAGCGTGCCCTGCTCAGGCATGAAATTACTGGATAAGTGGCGGTTTTGTAAAGCATTTATAGAACAATGGCGGTGTTAGCCAAAGATTGTCAAATCCTAAGGACCTAAAAGGATTCCTTGTTGACCTAATCTACCTCTTGGCTTCTTGGAGGCTCCAGACATGGGGGTTCTTGGGTTTCCTTATGTCGATGCAATAATAAGAGGGAGTTCCTTCATTTTCTGTGTTTATACATTCTAATCTTTAAACATGCTGGTAGACAGAAAAGGACAGTCCTACTTAGGATATGACAAAACTAACCTCTACCCTTCTCTATCCCATCTGAAGATCTCAGACCCAGCCAGGATCAGCATCTTCTTCTTGGGTGACTATGTATAGTAACAGATCAGAGTAGGAAGGCTCATACTCACACTTTAATAGAGATACCAAGTTCTTTGGCAGCAAGCACAGCAAAATATTCATAACTGTCTAATACAGCCTTATCATGGCCTTTTACTAAAACAGACAGGCGCTTATATAATGTGTCTGGTTCATCAGAAACGGTTATCTACAATTTTAAAATTAAAAAAAAAAGTTTCAGCAATGATTCTTCTAAATTTGTAACTATTAAAATTTAACATATTATACTCAGTCGAACATTTCAGAGCTTACTATTAAAGGGGGAGAAAAATGGCTTAACATCTTAATACTATTAGCTTAAGTTACTAGATACTACCACATTCAGATCTCCACAAAGACCCTTAAATCTGTTAAGATACAGCTTAAATCAACAGAACTCTTAAGGCAACCTACAAAACCACTAATGGAACTTTGTAACTCAATAGTTATTGGGCCCCAAACACACAACAGGAAAGATTTTTTTGATCTGTGAACAAAAGTTTCCTGGTCAGAAGACATAGATTGAGAATTAAACTCTACTACTTGTAGCTGAGTGACAATGGGCAAGACATATCCATTTATTGCACTTTAGTTTTTTTGTATATAAAACAAGATAATGCCTATGTTATAGCTCACAGCATTGCTGTAGGAACAAATTAGAAAACACAGATTAAAGTACCTCTAAATCATAAAACAGTGCTATACAGGGTGAGCCACTGCCACATATATACTTTATTAGGTTTTATTTATATATGTATTGCTTACTTAAAAGGAAAATTACTCATTTCTAATTTAAATGTTATGATACTGAATGTACATATAACTTCTATCTCTTCCACCCTAATATTTAAAAGATCTTAGAAATAATGGGTTTGACACTTCTGACTTTCTTCCAAGAGGCAAATTACCTTCACTTCATTCATCCAATAAATCAGTAATTGATATTACTAATCCAGTGATTCAGAGTTAAATTACTTTACCCTAAAAGGAAGTCTAGTTAATCAAGAAGTTACATTTACTCTTGATCACCCCAAATAGGGTTGCTGGAAAAGCTGAATATACTGGTATTCTTTGTTACAGACTTGGGGACAAAGGAGGAGGAATATAGTTGTAAGGTATGTTCTGATGGACTACCACAGGTCTGTAAAGATATTTTGAATGTGTTATAAAAAAAATCAGATTTCACATTAAGATTTCAATTAGTTTGGGAAATTTACATAATCTAGCAATACTAGCTCTGACTGCCCAAGTGATCAAAGTAGCAACTGTCCTGCTTAGAAAAGGCACAGCCCTTGGGGCCTCCCTGCAGGCACGGGGTTAAGGACCCAGAGCTATCACACTCTCCGCAGGCACTGCAACATCAGTTCAATCCCTGGCATGGGAAATGACCCATGTGGTACAGCACACCTCTCCTGTCTCGCCCACTGCTCCCCTCAGTCAATCTGCTGTTTTGCTCCCTACTCTGTTTCTGGTGAACCCTTTCACCCCCTGCACCTATGGCCTACACCCCAGTTCTTATATGTATAAATAAATAAATCTAAAAAAAAAAGGGCACAGACTGTCACTATGTCCACCCCGCCACCTCTCCTAGTCCATCTGTACAGGCATCTGAGTTGGACATCTAAGGTATACACATGATGTCACAGAAACAGATTCATTATCAACTAAGTGAAAAACAAAACCAGCAGTTACCTTTTGATGTGTATGTACAGATACAACTGCATAACAGACAAATGTCTAGAAGGATGTACACTAAACTCTTAAAGGGGGTTATATTTTGAGAGGCAGAAATGGAAGGATTTGGAACTTATTTATTTGTAAGATATTTTAAAAATGACCAAAATAACAGGCTGATGGAATCATACTTTTATTTAAACAAGGATGCCCAGCTAATTCTGGATTTTCTTTACTTATGCTAATGTTCTTTCTACCTGTGCACAATAAAGCATTGTTCAGGCCCAGGCTGAATGTCTCAAAGTGAAAATTGAGCCTTGAAGGCTATAAGAAAAAAAGTTTTTCCATAACCTAATATCAAGTATTCCACATCATAATTAGTACTAGCTTCATATTAGGGTAAGTTAAAAGCAAAAGATTGCTCAAACCCAGAGTTACTTAAGGTAAATAATTTATTCCTTCAGAAGTGGCTTTCATATCCTGAATAACAAGAGCACCCAGGGGACACTAGAGAACACCCAGGTATACACTGTGCATTTACCAGAATCTCAAAACTGTTTTTTCATAAAGTGTTTCGTAAACAACCCCAAACAAAGTAATGAACATTTATTGTCACTGTAGCTCCTTATGCCTAGAAACAGGTAGCACATACCGTAGGCTTAGTCACATCCTTGGGAACATCAATGTGTAGATTTGAAAACTGTACCCACTTCATGTTGGTACTGCTATGTGTGGAAACAAAAAGAATCTTAAGTAAAACAGCACAAGAGGCCCTCCCTGGTGGCACAGCACAGCACTGAGAAGCTAGAGCTGCTTCCGCATGAGTTCGATTCCCGCCTGCCCCGGAGGTGACCACATGGCGTGGCAGACCTCTCCTGACCGGCCCGCTGCTCCCCTCAGCAGTGTACTTCGTCGATCTGCCTGTTCTGCTCCCCACTCTGTCTCTGGTGAAGCCTCTCACCGCCCCTGAGCCTCTCGCCTGTATCCCAGTTCTGTATGCACAAATAAATAAATCTTAAAAACAAAAAAAAAACACAGCACAAGAGCCCATTTTCTTGTTCCATTTAGACCATCCAACAGTATACTTACAGAAGAAAGCCACCATTTTTGGTGCTACTGTCCTTAGATCGGTTTATAGAAAAATTCCTTGAACCCTTTAAAAAAAAAAAAAGGATATGTTAGAATTAACAATCTCCAAGCCATTCATAGTCTCCATGAAATGTCAAAAAATGTGTAATGCTGCAAATTAAAGCCTATTTCATTATTCCAAATGGAAATGTCGAGCGTAATTTAAAAAGCATTAGGTTTCACTAAAAATAGAATGCAAGAGTATCATCACAAAACACTAAGAACCTCTATCTTTAAAGTTCAGGAGCAAGAACTTTTTATTATTATTATCATAGTTTAGTTTTACATCAATTTGTGCCTTTTCCATCTCAGTTGTAATCCCCATGGGCTTCCCATCACCATCACCTGTGTGCCGCCACCACAGTCCTATGCACTCCCCCCTCCCTCCATTTTGCAAGAATTTTAAAAAAGATTTATTTATTTATGCATATAAGAACTGGGGTGTGGGCCAGGTGTGGGGGGTGAGAGGATTCACTAGAGACAGAGAGAGAAACAGTACAGGCAGGTCTACTGAAATACACTGCTGAGGGGAGCAGCAGGAGAAATAGAAGCGGTCTGCTGTGCCTTGTGGGTCACCTCCTGGGGACCGAACTTGTGCTGCAGTGGCTGCACACAGCTTCATAGTTCTAAGACTCAACCCCTTGCACCACCATGGAGGTCCAAGAACTAATTTTAAAAAGCAATTCTTACAAGAATAGCAATGTAATATGTGGGCATTAAGGGGGAAATATGGCCCATTTTTCCTTTTTTACAGATTAGTTATACTTAAGGGAGGAGTTTAGAGAAGTGTGAGAACAAAGAAGGAAGGAAGCACAATGCACCTTGATGATGGACCATGGGTGATCTGGTGGCAGGTACACTGTGGTGGTGAGGGGAGTTGATCTTATACATGAAAAATACCAACAATAATGTCAGCCAATGTTAAGTGAAAAAAAAAATAATAAATGTACTTTAATACTTCTCTTACCTGAATATTTTTGCATAGTAAGTCTTCACAATTTATTAACAGCTAGAGTAAGAATTTTAATGTGCCCTTCTAAAATTTTCATACATCTGTTTCAGTATATTCATTATGTACTATAAAACAGAAATACACAAGAACTTACACTATCCTAATACCACTACTAACTCTCATTGGGATTTTCCAAATTCTTTACTGTCAGCTCCCCCTAGTGGAATAAAACTTCTAATTTTAAGAAACCCGTGGTACTACACACAGCAGGTTCTTAAATAACATGGTTTCAGTTGTTGTAACAGAGGTGAGAGAAATCAACTGATTTTAATAGAGGGCCTGGTTCTGTTATTTGGTCATTTTGCTCAGTCACTATTTCCAATAACCCAGTGATAATGTTATGTGGCACTTACTATATAACATGTAATTGCTGTCTACTTTTCCTTTATGCTTTCTGGAGATTTAAAGTGTAACATGAGAAAGCAGAAGAGCAATAAACTCCTTAAAAATACTTTAAAGATGAGAGGCCCTCTCTGGTGGCACAGTGGGTTAAAGCACAGCACTAAGCTAAAACCACTTCAGCATGAGTTCGATCCCCACCTTGGAGGTGACCCACAGGGCGCAGCTGATCTCTCCTGACCTGTTCGCTGTTCCCCTCAGCAGTGTGCTTGTCGACCTGCTTGTTCTGCCCCCTACTCTGTTTTTAGTGAATCCTCTCACAATCCTTCACCTCTGGCCTGTACCCCAGTTCTGTATGCAGAAATAAATAAATCTTAAAAAAAAAATACTTTAAAGATGAGGTTAATAAGTTAGCACAAGTGAACCTCAAGTCAAATAACTGACGGTCACCTAATTACGTTTAAAAGGCCTATTCTTAGCTTATTGTCCTTATTCCCTCTTTACCCAAAATAGAGGCAAGTCAAAACTTTCATATTCTTTCTTGTGTCAAAAGAAAAAAACAAAAAGACATAATACAAGGTAGAAAGGGTCATTCTCCACACACACTCACATAGGAATATCCCTCCACATACGTGTGCCAGTGACCCTAAAATCCAGTTGTGCACAAGGACTACAGGTATAAACAGTATGGTGGTCACAGTCTCTCAGTATCAACACTGGTTTTCAAAGTGTAGTCGAAGGACGTCTGGAGGGCTTCTGAAATATATTCAGGGGCCCTGGGAGATTTAAACTATTTTCATCAGATGTTATTTGCAACATTTCTACTCTCAGATCTCACCGGTGTATATGCAAGTGTTCCAGGTGCAGCTTTACAGGTGATGTATACAGAAACAGCTTAGACAAGACGCCTGTTTTTGACTAAACCAGACATTAATGAAATTTGCAAAAACTTACTTTCTCACTAAATTTGTTTCGCAATCTAGTTCTTTTCCATTAAAATCGTAATTATTTTAACATGCTGATAAATGAGTTTATTTATCGGCAATTTACGAGCTGCTTTTTAATTAAGATTCCAAGTTTTATGTTCTAATAAACCCACAAAATCTAACATGCTCTTTAGTCTTCACTTTTATAATGTAAAGAAGTACTGAAGCCAAAAAACTTGAGCTGCCTAAATTAATGCTTTTCCTCCGAAGAGTAGCGCAGAGGAAATCTAAGACAAATTCCGACTTCGGTGGCTATTCCGAAAATCTCAGAACCCCCGGATGTCCGGAAAGTTCCAGAGATCTCGTTCCAGCTCAGTCCTCAATTTTCGCGAGGCAAACTTCTATCTTCTCTGAGCCTACGTTTAGTTTGCAAACGTGAAAGGAGGGGCTTGGGGCATGTAACGTTCACTGTCCTCTCAGTTGTAACATTCCATGAATCTTCTTGTCCCTATCTTTGTCCCGACTCTGGAACTTGTTTCACCCCATGAGAATAAAACCCGCCCCTTTGTGGCCACTTTCCTACAATGAGCCGAGGTTCGGAGTACATATCGAGGAAGGATCATGATTGACACAACGACGTTGGCAGCCAGAACTCTCGGCAACTCTCCCCGCCTGCCCGCCTGGTTAGCCCAGCCCGCCCGGTACCTGCCAGAAGCGCCGGCACACAATACCAAGCGCCGCTCGTGCCGCCATCTTGCCGTCCCAGCCTCCCAGGATCGCTTCCGGGTCACAGCGGCGCCCCCGGTTCCCAGAGTTCCGCAAAGAGAGAACCGCTA